ATTTATACATACATTTATATATACATATATATATATACATATATATACATATATGTGTATATATATGTATATATATATTAACAACTGTTAATGAAAAATATACTGTATATTTCTTGCACTAGAAATTATTAAAAAAAAAACAACTACAATTAATAACTTAAGTTTAGTTTGCAACTCATTTTTTAACCTCAATGATTCCTACAGTAAAATCAAGCATTAGGAACATTGAGAATTTAATTTGGTACAGAGATGTGTCACTAATATAGAGAGGTAACTTGACAAAGCCATTATGATGATGAGCAAAATCTTAAAAGACTGCTTCCTTGAATTGCTACTATACTATACTAAATATCATTCACACCATAATATTATTAATAACAAAACAATAATATTAAAAATATATATCAATACAAATAATTGAAAATTGTGGATTACAAAAGATCTGTCCACAGAACAAGATTTAAAACATGGATAACAAGTTTGTGGTGAGCTTCTTATCTCTGACAGGGGAAATATAATATGCATTATAATACAATTACAATATATTTGTACTAATATACATACAATTTAGCATAAAATGTGAGCAATACTAAAAAAAAAAAATAATGTAAAACATTGGTTGGTCATTTAATATGATTAAAAAAAACCCCCAGACATACTGTAAATTCCAAAATCTTTCATTACTATACAGTGCATTCATTCAGTGATATTCAGTTAACACACCTATGTGAACACATAATTATTAGTGTAGAAATTCACTTAACTTAACTTAACCACCAAGCTATGCAACTCCACTGCAATAACCATAGTACTACCAATGGCTTTCCCCTTTTCTTAAAACATTTCAATCCATGATCAGAGATATAAGATGGTTAGATAACTTAAATAAAATACTGACACGTTATAATTAATTGCATAGATTTCATAATTACAGTAACATCATGTAGTAAATATTTGTTAGCTATAAAGTGCTGCATGTCATTTTACTATAATTAAAGTAGTTAATTCTATGGGGTGGGGGGGCAACAGAACATGTTTCCTAAGCAATTTTTAAGAATTGCACAGTATGTAATATGTATACTTCATTCACTTTGCACAGCAACTAAATTAAACACTATAAAATAGAGTAGAAAGTATTTAATGCTAGGTTTGTACTTTAAATTCCAAGTTTAGGTCAAACAAAAATTTCATCACACAGTACAAGGCTTGGTTTCAAATCATCTAAAGCTGAAAGAAAAAATAAATATGTATCATTATACAGGAGTAAAAAGATTGTTGCATTATTATATGACATTTTGTTTGTTTATTTATTCAGTTTATCATTCAATTATTTAGTCATCCATTTTTATAATTATTTAACCAGACAGGTACAAAGTTACAGTGAAAATAGATTGTAAAATGTAGTGTAAAATGTTTCTTGGATTTTTCTATGTTCAATATTTTTTAGATTATACATACTGTATGTAGGATCATGAATTGTGTGGAAGGCAGGACAGAAAAATACAAAAAAGTTCTTAGGTTATTAGGCATAAATAGCTTGGATTTAATTCCAATTTGACTGCTTGCATATAATATAAAAAATATTTTTTTAGAAATAGATTTAGTTATGTTTTTGTAAAGTTATAATTCAAAGTCACTGGTGGAATGCTGGTATTCGCACAATAAAAGATTGTAACAAATAGCGAGGGGTATTTCCTTCTACAAAATGAGTTAGAATCCAAGTATCAAATTAAAATTGATTTTCTTCTGTATAATGCAATCCGGCATTCTGTCCCAACGACTTGGAGGATTAAACTCAAAGAAAATCCGAAAATAACTAATGAATGCGTTGATATTTATAAGTGTGAATCTGTTTTTAAATGCAAAAAAAAACTTGTAACAACGTGTATCATTCCATCGTGGAGCCTATTGGTACTGATGTAAGTGAAATAGAACAAAAATGGTCCGATATGGGTATATTGAACATCCAAAAAATATTCTGTGTACTTCACAAACTGCCAATCGACAATAAAATTAACGTTTTTCAGTTTAAATTTATGCACGGAATCGTTTTCACCAATGTAAAATGGTTTAAGATTGGTCTGTTATAAGGAAAAAGATCATCTCTTACACATGTTTGTTGAGTGTAGAATCAGTTTTCCTTTGTAGGAACTACTAAAGATTTTATCTTTAATGAAACTAATACAGTAATTAATTTTCACACAAAAATTATCTGCTTTGGAGAGACTGATTTACCACCAATATTTCATATTGTTCACTAAATATTATATCTATAATATGCTGTAAATTACAAAATATAATTCCTTATTTCAAGGATCTGAAACTCAGACTAGAAAAATATAAAGATTTACTCAGACTCTTGAATTGAATCTCCCCACTGTATTGTAAACTCAGTGGCATAATTATTATTATTTCTTCTGTTTTGTTATTGTTGTTGTTTTATTGTCATTATTACAATTAACAATGAGGATGATATTAATAATAATAATTTGTTTTTCTTGTACAATTGTATTGTATTATATTGTTATGTCTATTTTTTTATTAAGGCTTTTTTATTTTTTCTGTTTAATGTTATGAATGTATTATGCATGAAAGAAATAAAAAAAGAAGTTACAATTAAATTATCCCATTATGTGTGTTCCCCTCTCGAATAATTGTTCAAATCATAAAGTTTATGACTGCTGTGTCACTCCAGATCAATGGAACGTACAGTACAATATTAATTTCCAGTCTATAATATTTTACACATTCAGATATTTTATTCCAAATAACTGTTTATTTCAATAAAAATACAAACATATAAAGTGATAATAATTTATTATTAAACAAATGGGTTTTACCCGCTAACTTAATGTTGTTTTGTAATTTTTTTTTGGTTTTATTTAGCTGGCCATAATGTTGAGTTGTACCATACTGTACTAATATAACAGACATATAATACAAAAGTAATAATTTGTAATAAGTGAATTTATTATATAAAAAAAAAATCCAAAATGACTGATATCATGACATTATTACTGAAGTAAAGTAAAACATTTTGTTTCTGCAAGATAGGTATTTATTGTAGTAACAGGCCCGGATTACTGCTTCACATACTGTAGAAAATAATAAATAGAAGTACTGTATATAAAGGTACTTGTTGCATATCATTTGTGTGGTTGCTCCTGGAGATAATCAGCTACATCATGAGTTGGAATCTGAAAAATAACAATATAAAACAAATAAATAAAAACATCATTTAATACATTTTTGACTAATCTTGCTAGGTCTGTATTAATAATCCAGTGAAAAACTTATTATTTAATGTATTTAACAATAATAATAATAATAATAATAATAATAATAATAATAATATTATATTATTATTATTATTATTGTATATTATAATAATCAAATCATTGCAATATGTATAAACTTATATAATTAAATTTAATAATTGAAAAGAGTAATCCTACTTAAGTATTTTCTACATACTACATTCTACATACTTAATTACCTTTTTTTAAATTGCCCTCAGCCAATAGGTCTTCAACATGTGGCTGGACATCATCTTCAGCTACATGATCATCATGATTGCTGAAATCATCATCTGGAAAAAAATTAATGATTTTTAAAAAAAATATCATATACCAGTAGGAATTACAGTACTACTACTCCTGGTACTGTAGACAAGCCTATAGATAGGCCAGGAGTTAAATTACAATTAATTTGTCAGTCGGCCCCAGTCACGTGACATGTTTGTTTGTTATTTTGTTTTGCTTAAATCTATCGTAAGTTTTTAATAAGTACAATTTACTAGGCCTATGTATGGTGAAATAATCCTTTTAAGTAAACAATGTGTAGGCTATCCACGATAACTAATTGCTGGAACCGGACGGATCGCGTATCCTAACTAGACTGTACTAGCCTATACTATGTATTTTCACTCTATAGCTAGCCTCTTCTTCTAGGCGCTAGGCCTAGTGAAAATAGAGATAGTAGAGGTCTAATGAGTGAGCAAAACCTCGTGGGCCTTTCCAGAGGCTTACCAATCGTTATTCATGATCAGACTCATGATTCATTTTGAGCTGTTTTGTTAATTCACTGCCATCACATGTTCATTAAAATACTTACCCTTTTTGGCCTTTTTTTGAGAAAAAAAAACCCCATCAATTTTCTCTTGCTTTACAACTTCAGTGTCTTTTTCCGCGATCTCCGACTACAACTTTCATAAAAAAAAAGATTTGATTGGACAGTGTAAAACGATCCAATTGGAAACCGTTTAACAGCCTGCGTTAGGCTCAGGGGTGTCCCGAAAGCTCAGACCACGAAAGCTAAGACCTAAGACCACGAGATAAGATAACATAAGATAAACTTTTATTTGTCCAAACATTAAAACATGTTGGAAATTCGTTTTCCATGGCGTATTTACATACAAAATACTGTATATAGTAAAAATAAATAAAAAAACATATATAAAATACATGAAAATACATAAAATATTATTCTTATTAACAATTATCACAATTATAATCATTATTACAATCATTATCATTACGATCAATGCTCTATGTTATGATATTCATATTCACTGTACAAAAGTTATTGTACGAGACTGAGGTCACAGGTCACTGGAATAAAAAATACAAAGTATGGCAGCATTGCGTTGCATGAGTTTCATTTATAATCGTGTCTAAATCAACATGGTGGCAGCGGATCGGCTAAAAGCTGTCTCTTATACACATCTAGATGTGTATAAGAGACAGGCTTATTGTCATGCAAATCAGGGAAGGAATAT